TCAGGGATTGAACTCAGGACCTTGCACTTGCCAGTATGTTTGTAAGTAGGCAGTGGTCTTGATGAAAACCTGGCTGTGTTTTCTTAATTTTGGAGGACCTGATTATGTTCATGTATTAGTACTTCTGCTTTTTCCCTTATTACCATTACGTTTATATAATTTAAATATGCTTGTGTCTATAGCTTGAAACAATGCAAACAAACCTCATCCCTCTACAGCCTGTCCTCCCTCTTGTACCTTCCTCCTCTCCTTCTCCTAGAGCTACACTTCCTGAAAAGAAGCCCACATCTTGTCTCTACTTCCTTTCTCCCTAGCTTTTCATTTATCCCATGATGTCTTCCTTTCCACCTTTCTCAGAAACAGACAAAAGACTTCCTGGTTGCCAAATTCAAGGCATTGTTTTAGTCTTTACCTTTCCTGAGTTTGCATTTTGATTTAGCACTGTTGATGTATCTTTTTTCTGGAAACACTCGTTTCTTTTCACTACCCGGATAACATGCACTTATGCACATAGCTATTTCCAAGCCTCTTGGGTGGCTCTTTTTGTCTCTTTTGAGATTCTGTCTCTGCTGCCCCCATGTTCTCTCCTGTGCTCTCTTCTCAGCTTATTCCACTTTGTCTCTGGAGCCTCGTCCAGGTTTGTGGCTTCAATCACCAGCTTTCCCGTGATGGCTCCCATATCTGTCCTTAACCCAGTTTTCACTCTTGTCTTCAGACTGTAGTTTTAACTGATTCTTGGTAATTTCCATTTGGAAACATTTCTAGTTTACCTTCTCAAAAACTGAATGCAGCCGAGTCTAGTGGCACATGCGTGTAATTCCAGCAACTTGAGAGGCTGAGGCAGGAGCATCAGAATTTCAAGTACAGCCTGGAGAGTTTAGCAACTCAGTGAGTCCTTGACATAAAGTAAAAAATAGAATAAAGAATAGAAAAAGTGAGGCTCTGGGGATGTAGCTCAGTGTGAAGGCCTGGAGTTCAATCCCCAGAACAACAAAACAAAACAGCCTGAATTCCTTATTCTTGTTTTACTCCCTCTAAAACCATACTTATTGTCTATATTTTCCCATCTAAATAAGTCATATATCTGTTCAGCTGGTCAAACAGAAACCTCAGACCTTTTAAAATTTTATTTATTTATTTTTTTGTGGTACAGGGAATTGAATGCAGGGCTACTGCACCAAGCTGCATCCCCGGCCCTTTTATTTTTTATTTTGAGACAGAGTCTTGCTAATTTAGTAAGTTGCCCAGACTAGGCTTGAATTTGAGATTCCTCCTGTATCATCCTCCTAGCGTTAGGATTAAAGGTGTGTATCACTGTGCCCAGCTAAGAAACCTTTTCTTTTGGACTTTTCTCTAATGCTGAGCATCAAACACAGGACATTTACCCTGCTCTGATTTTTATATTATAAAAGATTTTTTATTTTGGTACCGGGGATCGAACTTGGGACCTTGTGCTTGCGAGGCAGGCAGTGGAACCGCTGAGCTAAATCCCTGGCCCTATATTTCAAATTTGATGATTATGTTTACTACATGTTTATAGTATGTGTATATATGTGATTTTTCTTTCTTTTTTTTTTTTTTTAGTACCAGCGTTTGAACTTGGGTCCTTGCACTTGCAAGGCAGGTAGCGGAACCCTGAGCTAAACCCAGGCCCTGTGATTTTTCTATAATGAAAATATTATACTAAGATCTGTCTATAACTTCACATGGCATATTCCCAAACTCCTCTTTATTTAGCAAATTTTTTTTATCTCAAAGCATTTATTAATTTTCTCCAGAAATCACTGCTCTCTTTAATTTGTATAAGCATCTCCTATATATGAAATCCTCTTTTGTTGGCTATTTAACTATTACTTTTGCTCATTTTATTTTTATCCCTTTTTCTTAAGATACAACTTGTTTAAGGTAGCACTAAGGTACAGCTTGCTGAAGGTGACTTGTTTTGAGTTTGAGAAAATCAAAGTGTAAACTTGATACATTCTTGTGGTACTGGGATGGAAACCAGCAACTCACTCATGCTACACAAGCACTCTACCCCCCAGCTACACTTCCAGCCCAAATTGATACATTTATGAAAATGTATAAACAGTTCGCTGCTGCCCACTGGAAGATGTAGAACATTTTCAGCATCCCCAGAAATGCCTTTTCATGACCTGTGCGAAGTCAGCACCTGCTCCCACTTTTTGATCTCTGTCAGCAATGACTAGTTTTGCCTGGTTTTGGATATATAAACAGCAGTCATACACTAGGTATTCTTTTTTTTTTTTGAGACAGGGTCTCACTATGTAATTGAGACTGATCTGGGACTCACTGTGTAGCCCAAGCTGGTCTCGAACTCACAGCGATCCTCCTGCCTCAGCATTCCGAGTGCTGGGATTACAGGTGTGTGCCACCACACCCAGCTACACTAGGTATTCTTTTGTTAGTGTTTCTCCTGCTTTACATTATGTCTGTGCTATTCACCCATATCACAAATGAAGCAATAGTTCATCCTTTGTGACTGATGGGCCTTTTTATATCATGCGCTCTGTTCTCCATCTTTGTTTTCTATCCACCACCATGCCTAGAACTCCATGCTTCTGTCCCCAGAACTACCGTGGGTCCTTAAAGGGTCCTGTTCCCACGGCTCTCAGACCAGCATGCCTGGAATAGTTGAGAGGCCTGCAGACCTCCCTATCCTGCTTTGTCTAGTTAGGTCCTGCTCATGCATCAGGTCTGAGCTTAGCCCGTCGCTTCCGGGAAGTCCTGCGTGCTCTCACTCGGCGATCACCCGGCTTGTCCGGCAGCAGACTGAATGAAGCACACTGTCTCCTTGCTGCCTGTTGGTTTATTAGTCATACCGGAAGGCCAGGGAGTCAGACACCCTACTGTCTTATAGTCATATGTCCTGTACCTGGTGTAGCACCTGCAGTGCAGTTTTTTTGAATGAATGAATGAATACATCTGTGAGAATTTCTTTTTTTTTCCTCTACTGGTACCTGGGACCTTACTCAGGACCTTGCGCTTGACAGGCAGGCTCTGGGCCACTGAGCTACATCCCTGGCCCCATGAGCATTTGTTTAGGGAGCATTAAGTACTCCTTTGGAGTTAATATTAAGTACATACCCAAGTGTAAAATTGCAAAAATTTGATAAAGACTTAAAAACAACCACTACTCTGGGCTGATCTTTAACTGGGCTCTTTCCAGTGAAGCATGAGTCTGAGTTGTTTCTCTGCCTCCGACGAACAGTATGTGATGAGTCACTGTGCAATCACTGACATTTCTAGTTGCCATAGAGATGGGGGTTTTCATGTATGGGCCGCCTTTAAGCTTCTTGTTCACAGAAACCTTTGACTGTGTAAATGTTTAAAGTGAAAAGGTACATAGACATCAACATCTTTTCTTCATCAGGCTTGCTGATGAGATATGATTCATCCTTTGGGTGGAGATTGCTTTTAATATTTAAGCCTCCATTTATTCAGTTTGGACTAATCTGACTTTCAGAAAATTTAAGTTGTTCTTTGCTTACTTGGGGAAGGAATAAATTTACTGATAAAATATTTTAAAAGTATTGCTGGGTGGAGTGGTGCAGGCCTGTAATCCCAGCACTCGGGGAGGCTGAGGCAGGAGAATCACCATGAGTTTGAGACCAGCCCGGGCTACGTAGTGAGGTCAAGGCCCGCCTGAACTATGTAGCAAGACCCTGTCTCAAAAACCAAAACCAAAACCAAAATATTTTAAAGTATAAAAAAACAAAACATACTCACCCAGACAATAAATTTTTGACTTGACAGTATGTCACAATATACTGGACAAATTTCAAAATGTGTCTCATTGAGGCAGAGATGTTAAGGCCTACAGACAATTCACAGGTAGGAGAAATTCAACTCAGATGTATACCTTTTTGGTCTCCCTACATATTGCCTGTTAGATATGTCTTGCCAACCTCTCTGAGCCTCAGCATTCTCATAGATAACATGGGTAGATTAATAGTACTGTTATTACTTCATGCATCTCCAGATGAAGAGTGGACCTAGAAGTTAAATCAAATTTTCTCTCAAGGGTGCCAGCTTATGAAAGAAGATCACACTTCTCAGAGTTGGCAAATGTTTGTTTTGTGTGATGCATTTGATTAGCTGATACATGAAAGG